AATGTTTACAAAAATATCTGGTGATTGTTGAGAGGTCGTCAGATTTTCACATAACAATTTATCTCGAATTACAAGTTTAATTTTACAAGTAACCCATCTAATACGTAGCACGATGTCAATAGAAACATTTAAGTAAACAATGTGGCGAAAAATTATTTATTTTACTAAATGTTGGTCTGTGATAGATTATTTTCTATAGCGTAAGAATTTTTTTTCCTTTTATTTAAATTATAACACTAATGAAATTTTATATATGTAATTCCCATTAAATAAAGTACATCATTTTTTGCAATAAAATATGCAGTATTTTATAAGCTATGCGCATAAATATTTAGATATTTTTTAAAAAAATACAAGGTATTTTATTTTTGTCTGTTACAATATATTTTTAATCTTAATAATTTAAATTTTTTTCATTAATTATGGATACTTATATATTTTTTTTCTAAGGTCAATTATGAATAGAATCTTAGTCTGTTACAATCACTGTTACTCTCATAATTACTGTTACTGTCATGCCCGTTTTAAATACAATTTAAATTTACAAGCACACTTTTTTTTTCATTACAGGTTAAAAATTTAAGAAAAAATATATGTTACGGAGAGAGTTTCAAAATATGCAATATAATATTCTTAAATATTATTAATAAAACTCGATTTCTAACAGCCATCAGTTATTAACACTACTAAAAGGAAGAGCTAGAGGGATTACCATTGGACTATAAAATCGGAACACAGAGTTCCTGTTTGTTAACTGAGTGCAAAGAACAATACAGAGCCCCATTGTTCCTTAAACCGTTTCATTAGAGAAGCCATTTCGAACGAAAGAAAAGTATCTTTAGCGATTAATTTAGATCAGCTAATGAGTTCCCTCATTTAAATACACTCGGATGGTAGAGCAAATTGACACTCATTACGATTAGATAACATTGTAGCTCATTAAGAGGTATTTAATGAGTTATTAATAGCAATATACGATTGAAACTGAAAGTTCGGATTTATAGTGTCGTCACAACGGTATTAAACAAATCTAACACAATTAGCATGCATGTCTAATAATTTAGAACAATCGTATGGTTTTTGGGACTACTTTGTTTGAAAATTTTAACTTCGTACTTGCTTTTTAGAATGTTTGATTAAAGTTTGTATTTTCTGTATCTTTTTTAGAGGATAACACCTTTGTGTTTTCTTGCAGGTTGTGCACATAAAAATGCTTGAAAGTTTGAGTTTTATATCAAATAAAATTGAAAAGATGCAGTACGGTATAGGTGAAATAAGCTTTTATGAACCTTCGATGGATTTTTTTTCAATTCAGATTTAATTGATAACCTCATTCAATTTTTAATAATTTTGCTTAAAAGTTTTTAATGTAACTAGTAGAATTTGTTTTAAACATATACTTACGAGTCCGAGTTTGTTATCTAATTAATCACAACTATAAAAACAAAAAAAAAGTTTCAGTTGAACGAGACTACAGTAGTAAATTACATGCTGTTAAACTTTTTATCAAATCGGGAATTATTATTTATCACAGAAGCATTTTTTGATAACTCAAATTCAATTGATAAAATTTTTCAACCATTTTGCTGAAAATTTTAACAGCAGGTACGTTTTTCAAGGTAGCACGTATAAATTTTATCCTTCTATTAAACAATAGAAGTTCGAGTACATCGTTTAATTAATTAAAAAAAAACATTAGTACAACGAAACTATGGAAATATAATTCCTTTATATTCAAAAACTTGTAAAAACTTGCTTCTGGTTTAGCAAACGGCTGTCAATAATATTTTTTAGAGATAAAATAAAAACTTACGCTTCTTAAAAAGTTTTAATTTATGACAATTTTTTACTGTTTTCACCAGAAAATGCAACTAAAATTTGAAACAATTATGTGTGTTTTTGTGTTGATAAAAGTTTTAACTCAAAAGAAAAATTATTAAAATAAATATTAATTTTAAAATCAAACGATTACATTTAGGAGCAATTTATTTATTTATTTTTTGCATTTATACAAATTTTTGGACCGGCCTAATGCGGTTGTGAGGATTTCAAATCTGAAATTAGTTTCGCTCTCACAGCTCTAGATTTTTTTAAAATGACACTTTTGGTCTATTTTTGTCGAAATGTACAAGCTTAGAAACGTTATATACAACAGAGGGTCCATAAATGATGCGGCACACTTCTAGGGGAGTTAGGGCACATCATTAAAATTGCATAGGAATCAAAGTCGCGTTCGCCGACATTTCATCTATAATGTAGGTGGAAGCGACTTGACGTGCTTTCCCATTACGACTTGTTCAGAAGCACAGGAAAAAACAGTTCCTAATAGGAAAAGCACCCCTAGCGGCTTATAACGACGATGGATTCCTATACAATTTCAATCCTAATGATGTGAACCGATCCCTGCTATAGATAACGTTTTAAAACTTGTACTTTTTGTTGCAAAAATAAAAAAAAACACGAAAAATTTAATTTTAAAAAAAAAACTAGCTGGATGAAAGAAACAGATAGCATATTTAAAGTCAGTAGCCTTAAAATATACAAGACTCGTCAAGAAATCTCATGTTACAGAAAACAAACAAACAAAAAATACATTCCCTAGTGCTATTAACTAATATTTTGTATATATTGAAAAATTAATTTGACCTGGAGTCTACTTTGAGTTATAATACTGAGACAACTCAAAAAAGAATTAAACCTTTATTTTTGTCCAAGTTGAATCGTAGTACCATTAAAAATAAAAACCATTATTAATTTTAAAACTATTAAATTTCTCTTTATTAAGGTTCAATTTAGCACTCTATTAAAAATGCAACGCATTTGAACGATATTATGGGCCAAAATTCGTAACTATGACTGAAACATTTACTGGAAGTGGTTTTGTTTAGTACAGATGGCATAGAAATTACGCATAGTCAAAAACATAACAAAAAACTCATTTTTCATTAAAACTATCAAGAATTATTATCAGTTGAAATTTATTGAATGACAATTGATCACAACTGATCTAAAGGAAACAAAAATTTAATTGAGTTTTAGTTCGATAAAAATATTTGAATGTAAAATTTCCAAATAAGACTATTTAATGAATGAAAAATGCAGCTCTATATTATGAAGCGATTGCCGAGATACAAACTATATCCATCTTTATTCCTAAAAATCATCTTATTCTCATAATCGAGTGTTCCTTCTAAGAATCCCTTCATTAAGTAGTTTAATCATCCATTCTTTCGGAAAATGAGATATAAAAAAAAAAAAGAGTTTATTGCCACAATGACTGATTCATTTTTCTATTAATAAGTTTTGAAATAAACAAGTAATGCAGTTTAGCTTTCTTTTTTTATTGCTAAATTTAAGTTTTTTGAGGTGGAACTGCTTTTATGTTGTTTATTAATTTCACATTAGAAATCAATTATTTTTATTTTAACACGCACATTTCTTCTTATTTCAACTTTCTAGCAGTTTAACGTACATGTAGGATTTTTATAGTCTTTAATGTAGACCACTGGTGCTACTTATTGTTTGTTAAATGTTTTCTTAATGCGGAGAAAGAAAAGCTCCGAAATGAGCATTTGCGAGATAAAGTTGTCTTATGGTATCTCTATCCTAAACAACCATTTAGTTTCACACTATTAATCATCAAGCATGGTCAGTTTTAAAATGACTTATCAACATTTCGTAGAATACGGGTTAAGAAACATCAAATCCACATTAAAAAGTTAGCATTCCGCACGTTTATGTTTGTATACGTTCTGTGCACGCTCTGTAGAAAACCCAAGACTGTGTTTTATAAGCGCTGCGCAGAATACGATCGTAAGCATGGGAGAAACCACGTGATATTACTAAATTGTGGGAGTGGTCATAATGACGTGATCACTCAGTGCATACATAAAAATACATTTAAAAATGAAAAACATTTCTCCCTAAAAATAAGGTGGTATAATATTCTGGAAAAATAATTATTCCGAAAGATATTCGAGTCTATTTAATTGTGAAAGAACCACAATAGGTGAAGGTTTTTCTAACTATGGTATGAGAAGGGTTGCAAAAGCTTCTCTGAAAATAAAAATGAAATATTTTATTCTTTATTTGGTAAACCGTGAACTTTTTTTTAGCGTGAAACGCGTAATATAGCATGAAACTGTAGATTTAGTTTATCAACCTTATTTTTATTCAGTTTGTTTATCCAATTTTAAAAGACATCGCTTATGGTTATTTAGTTCATTAAACCAATTATTATAGATAGCTCAAAACATTATTTAGCTCGTTAATCCAATTATTACAGATTCTTGATATTATTATTTAGTTTATTAATCCAATAGTTACAGATATTTTTAATTATTGTTTAGTTTATTAATCAAATTATTATAGATTGCTGAAAATATTATTTAGCTACTTAAAACAATTATTATAAATTCCTCATATTATTTAGCTCATTAATCGAATTGTTATAAATATCGTTCATTATTGTTTAGTTTATTAATAAAATTATTATAGATTTCTCACATTATTATTTAGCTTATTAATCCAATTATAAAAGATTCTTCCTATTAAGTTTATTAATTCAATTATTACAGATTGCTTCTATCATTAATCAGTTCATAATTGTAATAATTATAGACTGTTCCTAAAATTATTAGGTTCTTCAATTTTTTTTTATTACAGATTTCTCCAATTATTATTTGCGTGGTTTTATTTATTCTAAAGATAATCATCCTTCTAATCCATTCGTTTATCCACTTGTTCCGCTCATTTCAAAAATGTTAATTTTTGTTTAATACAAAGCAATTATTTTCGGAATAGGTTATGAATCTATTCTGGCCGTTCAGCTTTGGTTTTTACTAAATATTGTGAAGAACATCAGATTTAAATAAATTTTAATTCAAAATAGAGGCACTTTTTAAAAAAATTTGAAAGCGTCATTAATTCAAAGTCACATTTTAACCATTCCTAATAATTGTAGAATATATATTTTCATAAAATATTTCAAAGGAACTTACTTCAATTTTTTCATGAATACTAATATCTTTAAATTGCTTTTCTATTTCCTTAGGCTGTATCTGTAAGAAAAGAAGGAAAAAATAAGACATACTCCGTACAAAGTATTATGAAGACCTTATAAAACAAACTCTTTCATTAATACAGTACCGAAATACTCTGGTCAATTTTTAAGTAATCTTTTTACCTGAAATTTTTACCTTAAAAATTTTTTTATTTTACAACCGTCATTGAATGGGTTACCCAATTTTGGGTTTACGACTACCAATGTTTAATTCAGTGGCCTTGTAGTTTTGAATCCAATCCAGAAGACAAGGGAATTCCTGGATCAAGTATTTGGAGAAATTTGCCTTCGTGGAGGACTTTTTTATGGAACTAACCCGCATTTGCGCTACATGTAGCGGAAAACCACAAAAATCTCCCACGATAAGCCCGACAGCAAGGGACTCTATCCCGTGTCCACTGAGGATATTTTACGACCACCCACTGTGGTCAGTGAGAGCCGGTTGTCGAATTCGTTTCTATCAGCCATTTCTGGGATTCAAACCCGGATCACCTCATTGGAATGCGAATACTCAATCCCCTGAGCCACCACGCCTTAACTTAAAACCTTTAACGATATAGGGCAAAATTAACGGTCATCATCCGTCACAAAGTGATTAAATAAAACAAATGGCGGTAAAAACATTTTTGCCATTCGTACTCGATCGTCTTTTTTTTCGTCAAAAATGCACCCTTTATGCACTCTATTATTATTATTTATTAATTATTTATTAATATGGATGTTTTATAACTTTCTGAAGATTACTTTGTCTCCCGTTTATTTCGTAGAATTCTTCTTCATTTTAAAAATGAATAATTTAATGTGCACCATATTATGAGAAATGCTTTAAAATAAATAACATTATTAATATCAACAGTTTTTTAATAGACTAAAATATTGCAGTTTTGAAACAAAAGATCGCATGTTTTAAAAAGTAGGCAATGTAGAGAATTCTGGAACTTGCTTCTGGCCGGTAGCAAACCTTCCCGCCCTATATTTAAAGAATATTTAATTCAAAAAAGACATATAAAATATGAACTTTAATGCCGGCAAAAGAAATTAAAATCTTGACAAAGTTTGTGAGAGTTAAGATTTTTTTTAACCGGAATTAACACTAAGCAATAGGGTCAATTATCACACAAATTGAAGTTTTTGTACAAAATAATTGAAAAAATTTAATTTCCACAGAAGTAATCTAAAATATTTATTGAATGGCTACAACTTATGGTAATAAGCAGCAAGCCTTAAACATTAACAATATTTTTTCATTTTTGAATTAAAAACTTAATTTTTGTTATGTTAGCAATACATATAAAAAATATCACACAAACCAAGTTTACTAAAAAAGAAAATTTTTGAGAAATTATTTCTAACGAGCATTAAAATGCGTATAGTTTAATACATCATACTCTACCTTTTTAAAAAAAAATAATTTCAAAATTTTGTTTTAAAATTTTAGTTGCAAATACAATTTAAAACAAGAGAATCGTGAACGATTTAAAAACATATTACTTTTGCCCAATTCAACTATAAATAATAAGACTATTTTACAAGTACTTCAAAAGCATTTTTAGAGATTTAAAACAGAAGATGCATGTTATAGAATTTAAGACAACTTTAAATCTTTTATAATTCAAAATAATCTCTCACAAGTAACTATTAAAATTAACCTTTAACAATAAACTAAACTGAAAGGACAAAAACCCTTTTGAATAAGGTATTTGGAAAACTCGAACAAATATTAATCTTATACGATATATATATATATACAGTACAGAACCCGTTATCCGGAAATCAGAAAACCGGAAAACCAAAAAACCGGAACGAAATTCGATAAATTTTCCCGCNCAATCATCTTGATCTGTGTACGTATATATATATAAACAAAGACGCAAAATTAGATGCATATTTTTAAAGAGATTTCACGAAAAGTCTTTAATGATACGAACAAAGCATTTCACTGTGCATAAAAGAAAGGTCATGGAGCCTTTTTTTCCACAAAAAGACTAATTTATGAAATGTTAAGACCTTAAAGGTTTTGAAAAAGCAGTGGAACGTCATAGAAAAAGTTAATTCTTTAGAGAAGGTAGTGACCCGGGACCACCAAGGTAGCTGGGGCATGTGAAAAATAATAAGAACTGGTCATCGTAAAAACATTTTTTTTTTCTTTATAAAATTGCTCATAACAGAAATCGCATTGAACTGTTTCGACTTCCTCTTCAAAACTGAGAAAATGGCGATATGGAAATAGTTGCCCATATTTCTTTTCTTTTTCTAGAGAAAAGGATACAAATTATTAAGATCGACATAGTCTAAAGTACTTTTTTGCGAGCTCGCGGTCAAATATATTACCTATGTTTCTTTAGTATTTTTTTATTATATCTTTATAAGGTTAAGGTAGACTTTGTTAGGTTAAAATGGAAATCATTTATTCAATCGAATTTAATATTACTGTATAAGTACACAATTAATATATTGCTTTTACTAGACTAAAATGGGGCATTTTTTTCAATATTACTCACTGTTTGTTTTTTAATCCATTTTACATGAAGTATAGAAATTTTGTAAAATGTGGTATTATTTTCATTGAAATATGCTTAAATGACATTCATTAAGACACACAAAGTAAATTCGGGCATGAAAAATATTTTATTTGAGAAATAGAATGTATGGAACATCGGCCAAATCAATGGACAAATTATTTAGTTGAAAGCTAGTTTTTTTTTAATAACATTTGTTTTATTTTAATTTCATTTACACAACTATGCGCTTTTAATCCATCTAAAAAACATATGATTAATTTTAAATTGAAATGTTATAAATTTTCAAAATGTTGAATTCTTCAATAACCGCTTTAAGTTAAAAAAAAAAAAAAAAAAAAANAAAAAAAAAAAAACTGGCTAAGTTTTTCAAAAGAAAATATTTACACCAACTGCATTACTAAATATTTTACAGATGCCTGCAGAATCATTCAAAAGAGTAGAAAAATAAAATTAGTGAAAAATATACATCAGAGTGTTTATAAAAAGCTATTTATTGAACAATAAAGGGTTAAAATTAGATCGTTGTATTGAAAAAAAAAAATTAGCAATGCCAATTACAAAAATTTATTAAGATTTGTACGAGGAAAAGAAAACACTGATTTTTCAACTGAAAACGCCTTAATTTATCACATTCTAAACAGGAAATAAAAATAGAGTAATGTTTTACAAAAAAAAAATTTTTTTATCGTTTAGCTGCTTAAATGAATTAAATTCCAAACATTTAAAAAAAATAAAATCACACGGAGTTGTTTACAATTTTAAAAAGAATTACGGTTTTCTTTACATTTATTTTGAATCTAAATTTTTTGAAAATGTTTACAATTACAGACAAATAAATGTTTATGCTTCGTGTTTAATGTTTCGTTTAATTAGTTTATCTGGTTGTTTCAACTATAGTAAGAGAGTGGAAATACTGGACTTGTTGTGTTAATCAGCTTTATGCGTGGATGAGAGTGTTGAAGGGAATGGAAGAAATATTGAGGCGTCAACCCCCGTTCTATCAGTCATAAAATTAACAGATTAGGCCATTCTATGTACCCAGCTGCAAGGAACTATGTGGCTTTTTGAAGGAGGGATTAATGGGTGAGATAAAATGGTGGTTATCTCATCTTATTAGATGAAAGCAGTTAAAAAACGCTTTTCTCACAGCAGTTTAAATATCTTATCCCGGGAAAATATACACCGTGCAGTGGACCTTACTTAACATGTGCAGGAGATACCGGTTATAATACCAATTATTATTAATAATAAAGGGTTATTAATAATAGAAACAATGCCACTAATAAACCACATCACATGCACTGATGTTTTTTCCTAATCTATCCTTAATCTATTGTAAGATATAAAAAAAAAACTTAAAAGAGGACTACAGAACTTTTTCTAACAATTTAGAACACATTAAGGAATATTGTAATATAAATTATATGGGATAATACTTAGTGTGTAAATCGTATTTGGAAATTTGCTTTCAAGCCAAACTAGTTGGCATTGCCAAATATGAAATCATTGTCTCAAACGGTTATACTAGGGGAGACCTTTTGCTTCCACTGGCCTACCACCTCAATGATAAATTGAATAATGAATTGAAAATTAAAAAAAATGAATGGAAAATAATGAATAATGAATTGAAAATTAAAAATAATAATTTTGGAGCATTCCATGTGGGATAAAGAGAAAACGGAACGAATTCTATCTAAACTATATTTGTAAGCAGTTCCACTTGCTTTGTAGTTTAGGGGGGAGTTCCTGATCTTAAATCAAACTTCATTTTATTTCTGACAGTAAACAGTTAAGTATAACAAAATAAGACATATCCACATAATATAAACAAACTTAGTATAGTTTTGGAACGTTTAGAACTTTTTTCAAATCTTAATCAATATATAAACATGTTGCAGATTTAAATAAAATTACAAAATAAGTTTCGATCATGTAAGAATCATTTAGGCAGGATGAATAAATTTACCCTGTCCATGGCGTCCTCCATAGATAGGAATCCATCCTTCACTAGTTGGAGAAGGAGTCTCACTTGATCGTCTTCTGAACTTTGGCCAATACCATCACCGATCTGAAGTCGAGAACCTATTCAAAGAGATCATAACCGTCAGACACAAATCTTCGAAAATTGAAAAAATATTAATAATAACAAAAATATTGCAAGTTTTGACTGTTATTCTTGTGTGATTTGACTTTTTTTTTTATAAGATTTTTAAACTATATTATTGATTAAACTATGCATGGTAGGGACCATGTGTTGGCGACTGCTTCTCCGAATTATCGCCAACACGAATATTGTGTGTGTGTGTGAGAGGTCCCAATATTCAATAAGTACGAAGTTAAAAAATATCAAAAAATATTGGTATATAAAGCAAATATTTTCAATTTAACACATTTGGGTCATTTATTATTTTTCTCATTGGTCAACATTTTTGTTCCCAAATAAAATTTAGCAACATTGGCAATATTAGTCTTGAATATTTAACACTAAATAATTATCGCTTTCCAGATACATACAATCATCTTGATCTGTGTACGTTATCGGTATCGTAATAGTATCCATAATATATATCGTTTTCGATACTTACAGTTATCAATATTGATTACAATATTAATTTATTCCATACGTAATGTTATCATTAATGATTAATACATTTGATATACTTATATGTGCTTATGTGCTATCAGTAAGCGATGACCTATATAAATTAGAATCTAGCATTGTAAGGTGGAAAACTTGAATTTATGGTCTCTTTAGCCTTTAAATACGACAATGCTAAGAGTAATTTCTTCGAATTTATTTTTAAACTGGCTTTTATCAAACTGTTTTACTGAGCAAATATTTTATTACATTTTATCGGCAGCAAACAATGCATCCATAAAATTGAAATATCTCTTTAGGAGCTTCTATAGTTGTATCATTTAGAGGAAAATTTAAAACAATGAATGAAGCGAGAGAGAATTATTTCATTTGAAAATATGTCGTAATAAGTTTACATAGAGAAAATTATTAACAGTTTTAACATTTAAAAAAAATAACACTTCACATATATACATACATAAACGAAACAGAAAATTTCTGGAACTTAGTGGATAGATTATAATGATTGCAGAACTTAGTTTTTTCTCCATTCGCAAAACGGAAGTGCTGCCATCTATGAATTAAGTGCGAAACTTGTAGGATTATCTTCACTCTCGACTGCTTGAGGGGGAAAAGAACAGGAGGCAAGAGATAAAAAGGAACCGATTTGTAAAAACGCTTTAGGGGAAGGCGGAGGTACTTTTTAAGCAAGTAGAGCACAGAAGTAGACTTATTTCTTGCTTCAAGTTATCTCACAATCGTTTTGCCGTAGCCGTGATCGTATAGTGGTTAGTACATTGCGTTGTGGCCGCAATAACCCAGGTTCGAATCCTGGTCACGGCAATGAACTTTTTGCGTAATTTAATTTTTGCGTTGTAAGTTATATTACTCTAAAAGCTGACGAAATTTTTATTTATTTACTTAAAAAAAAATTTTTTTTTTTCGTTAATTGCTTACTTAAAAATAATTTGGAACATTTCGTCGGCGCAGGTAATAAAGTCACCAACGAAAAAATAAATTAAATTGCTTTATTATTATTATTTAATTTGAATATACATACAAAAAATAAAAAAGTAGCTTGATTTACTTGCGCCGGCGAAAAAATATCTAAACTTAATTTTTATCCAAAGATGGAAATCCTTGAGAGAAAATTTTTATCCTCTAGATAATTTTTTTTTAAATGCAAAGGATGAAACAATTGGTACAAAAGTAATAGATTCGAAATTCGGCACATCGATACGAAATTTTAGTGCACAAAAGGTTACGTTTTATACATTTAACTTATCGCAAATTAACAACACTATAAACTATTTCTAAAGACTGTATTTATAAAAGAAATTATATTTATATTCAGTTTCATTTTGCAGAAGAAATTCGATTTAGTGCCACTTTTAAAAAAGTGCTTTTGTTTAATTTTGAAAATAAAAGTCTTACTAAAAAAAAAATAAATAAATAAACACTTTAAAAAGATTTTTCCAAATGTTTAGATAAAATGTGTAATTCTTTAGAATAGAATCTCTTTCTGATTTAAAGGGTTCTTAAATTATGAATCGAGTATTAATATATTTTCTTTTAAACATCTAAGTGAAGAGAAGAATAGTTATACTATGGCAGTTTAGAGGCGATTTTAATGTTTCTTGAGACACTATGTAAGGCTTAATGATAATAAGACTTTTGGTCTATAATGACTCAAAGTTTTTTTTTTATAACTTATCAAAGAATTTGTTTTTTTATACCAATTGTTATACCAATTTTTTTTTTTTTTATAACTTAAATATAATTTTTAGTTATAATGATGGTATAATAAAATTACCTAAAAATTTTCTCTCACCAAAAAAATTTAAAAAACACGCTAAGCCCCTCCCAAAAAATAATAAAATATAATCTAACTAAATCAATAGACATAAATGTGCTTCTCTTATTTGCTATTTTATGTCATTGTAAATTTGGATAAAAAATATTCCTCACAAAAAACGAAAAACAAATCTGGCAAACATTCTTTTTTTTTTCCTGGAACAGTAAAAAATATTCTCCTAGAATAAACAAGAATATTGCCTAAAATTATTTCAGAGTAATCAAATTACAAAAAATTAACTAAAATTTTGTTTAAAAAAAAGTACCCCTATCAAGAATGGCTTCTCCCGTTTGGGCACAGCTGTTCGGTACTTTTTTACTTTGATTCTTTTGCCTAATCTGCATTATAACTAAAAAAACTTTTAAGAAAAACTCTTCTTTATTAAGAACATTACATTTATTTTAACATTTCTGAGCAGAATTAAAACGCCTTTTTTTAGAAAAATATTTTATTTAACTTGATTTCGTATTAAAATTTTTTCTTTATTGAAAAAATCTCCTTATATCAATCCGGCTAAAATCTTTAAAAACGTTTTAAAATTATAATGCTTTATTTATTTATTTTACGTTTTCAAAAAGAAAAAAGTAAATTTTTTTTAAAACCCAACGAGGTTTGAGTCTCTGTATTGGTCTATTATTGAGGTTGAGTCTATTATTGCAACTCTGTAATTAAGAGAATCAAAGCAAAGATTATCGATTTTTGTGAATATTTTTTTCAATGACGCTAGTTTTTTCCCCATGATTTAGATGCATTTTATTTGTCACATTCAAGTAAAATAATTTATTTATGATTAACTATAAAATAATTTACTGAATCTTTTTATATAAAATTTATCGTATTAAACATTTGGAAGGTATAAATAACACAGGAAGATTTCCGTATTGTGATCTACGACGGTAAAATAATCGCCAAGTTTTGGTAACTTCCGGTCAGCGGTCAGCGAGGGACAAACTTGAAGGGTATAACTTGTAGCCAACAGACGTCTACATGCTTTTTACTTATTTATTTTATAAAAAAAAATTGCAAGTTTAAAATCCATTTGGAGCCTTGGCGATTGTAGTTGACACGACAAATTATGATATGGAAATATTTCCCAAAATACAGTTACATAACTAAAAGTTATAAAAATAATTCAGTTTTCTTATCCATTTCTTAGTGGAATCTTTTAAAAAATTACTGCTTTATTACAAATTATGCCAAATTATATTTCAGTACGTAAGTTACTATGTACGGAAATGAGAATTTATTTTTAATTTTCTTGGTGCTGCCATCTTTATTGAAAAGTTAGAATTTACGATTACTGTATATTAACACATAAGTGTAGAGCTTGATTGATAATGAATACTACCGTGATCCTACCTTTAAACTAAAGATGTATTTATAGTAATTTGTGAGATTCTGCAATTTTGTGAGAATTTTTATCACATGAAATGTTTATTATCTATATTCGAATGGTTATTTTTTATAAACATCATCATCATAATGAATTAAAGGAAAAAATCGAAAATAAACTATAATATTTAATAATTTTTTATTAAATACATCTTAATTAATATATAAAAAATCTTTTAACTTAGAAATTTCTTTCCATTATCATTATTTTTTTAAATATTTTTTAACATATTTTGTCATCCAAGATAAAAGTTTATTTATTGAAATATATATTTATTTGACAGCATTAATCGTATTAAATTATTTCAAAAAAAAGCATTTAAAATTATAGACAAATCAAATTTTTATTGATTTGGAATTTGAAATTCGACAGCATCGACCTTTAATTTTTCATTTTGTTAACTTTTCATTCATAAACGAATGCTCTAAAATTTTATATGAAATAAAGAATAATATACACAAAATATTATTGCTATGAAAGAAACATTTTCAAACAATGAAATTATGAAGAAAATAAAAATCAAAAAACAAACATTAAAATGCTTTAAATGAAAGAGAAAACTTAAGAAATCGCATTAGTAGTGCCGCCATCTAGTGTACATGCATGCGACTTTGGATGAGAAAAATAAGGAAAATTAACTGTATTAGTACTAATCTGAAAAACTGAGAAACTGGAAAATATTTTCTGTTGAGATTTTACGTCTTGAACATGTTGTCGTGATCAAGTTAATCCACTGCGTTGTGACTGTAAAAATCCAGGTTCGAATTTTGGTCACTTCAACTTTTTTTTTTAATGACAAAAAATTAGTTTATTCATAATTTTACTTTTATTTATCCTAGAAAAATAATTTATTAGAAATATCTTAAAGAGTGAGAAAGGGAAAATATTTTGTATATAAATTTCGCATTCAGATAAACAAGTGATAGGTTTTAAAGAACATTATTTTTTTTAAAAAAATTTAAAATGAAGTTTAGTATATTTCAATTTTATGATTGTTATGTTAACTTAGTTACTTGAAGTTGTAGTTTAAATTCTGATCTAAATTTTTGCTTACTTCTACAATGAAATTTTAATTAAAACAACAATTTCACTTTTATGTTATGTAATTTATAATAAGTCAACTGAGAAAATTTTTTTTTCATACAAAACTTCAGCGTGTATGTCTATTTTATAAGAACTATCTCAAAAGCCTGTCTATTAAAACCAGATATGGTGCTTTAACGTGAATTTGGTTTTGAGATTTTAGTAGCAATAAC